CATTCATTTGAACATAAACTCTGATCCATTACAAGCAGAAGCCTATAGGCTATACAGATCAACCAACAGACGTTCTTCTTATTTATTTATTAATTTATTTATTTTTTATTTATTTATTTATAGAAGGACCATGCATACAAAAACATTAATCTCAGCAAAGAGAAGAGATGCAATATGTCAGATTATAGCTAATAGCTAATTTCCATCTGTGGTCCTCATAAAGAACATATTTNTCCTTTATTAGGACTTAATCAATTTATTTTGACATGTAATTTAAGGGTTAACAGCATTGCAGTGCACACTTCATTAGGCCACCATTAAATGATCCTCTATAATAAGCATTTTAGCAATATCCTTTTGGCCAACACAAGGAAATTGCTGTTCATATTTCATATTCCAGTTCATATTTTATATCGTGTTTGAGGAAATGGCCGGAGAAACTTGTGGATAAATCTCTGCCATAGTTATCGACAAGGCTCTGTGCGCACAGGGTAAAGTACATCATCCTGAGTCCTGTTCAGTGTGTTAGAATGGATGGCCTGAAACAGATTAGTCATATCCCACATTGAGGGAAAGCCTCTGTGATAAATGGGTGATATTGAAGGGCCAAAGTTGAATACATTAATCCTGAAATGACTCTTGCCGTCCCCGAGCCTAACAAAGTTTATTGCAATGGAGTTTCTTCTGCAAACTTCCACAAACATACTCTGTGTTCTCAGCAATAGAGTTGTTCTCTGGACCTGGTAACAATCGTCTCAGTATGCAGATAGGAGCTGAATGGTTTTCAGGAGGCTGGCTGATTGTTGGATTTCTACATCTTTCGCCTGCAGCAACTTTGACCTTGCATTCACACTTTCCAGTACTTTTGTTTGGAGAAGCACTAGAAAAACAAAGTGGAGTGTTTCCATCTGCTTCTTCAGGGTTGTAGCTTTGTCCTGTTTTTTCTCTCTCTGTGCGGATGAGGGCTATTTTAGTGAAGGCACTGCAGCACAGTGTACATATTTGGCAAGCTTTCAATTTCCACGATCCAGGCCTATACACCTGAATAGACCCCACTCATGATAGCTCCGTGTTCCCCCTCGTACCCCTGCCTTCTCAAATCCATTTCTCCTTATACTGTTCAGAAGGGTTCCTGCAGCTCCACTGTTTCCTCGTAAACCTCGTGACCTTGTACTGTATATCTTTGGTGCTCTTGTTCTTGTCAATGTAATGCTCACACCAATAATAAGCCGTACTTCTCTTTCCATATTTGAATTGGTTTTTCTGTTTCTCTTTTCACTGGTTATGTATTATCTTGTATGCACCTGGGTTTGCACATTCCTGATGTTGTCTTTGACCATAGCCATAATTGCCCATTTCTGCATGAAGGGGTTGTATGGTGTCTGTTTTTTTTTAAGTGTCTGGGTCCTGATGCCGTTACACCGTTGAAAACACACCATAGAATAAGGACTTCACATCAAATCGTCCGAGTTGACAACAGTGTATAAGAATTAAAATATATCCCCTGGAGATAATGATACAGTATACATTTTTCAGTTTTGTGTGTGTGTTTGTCTTTCTGCAGACGGGGTGTGCTGCATCTCCACGAGAGTAGGGGTATCCAGGACCTTGGCCTGCCCCGCTGGGAGCTGACTCTGTGTCTGGTGGTGGTGCTCTTCATCCTCTACTTCAGCCTGTGGAAAGGTGTCAAATCCTCAGGGAAGGTACAGGCCTGGACCACCAAATGTTGCTTTCTCCATTTTTACCTTTGTTTATTTAACTATATATAACCCTTGCATTTTATGACACCTACAAATTGTAGCTGTGATTGCGTAACACAGACATTACACAGAAATCTTGTAAAGCAGCTTACTGTCAAAGGTTGTTACTGAGACAAAAGGTCAAGAGGCAGCAATAAACATTCTGACACCTGGAGACTGTCCTCCCCTTTACATTTAATGTGTTATGTATACTCAGGGCCGTCCTTGGCCAACTTGAGGCCCCACACAAAGTTAGAAGATGAGGCCCAACTGTCGACAGGGGGGGGGGGTTGCTAGTGGAGCCTCTCAGCGCCAAACCGTGCAGTTGAGGCTCCCTCAGCAAGACGAGGCCCCCTCCGCGAGGTGAGGCCCCCTCCGCGAGGTGAGGCCCCCTCGCAGTCTGCATGATCTGCCTGTAGGGAGGGGCGGCCCTGTGTAAACTGCAGTTACTTTCACCCATGCCATAAAAGGTTGTTAACACTGTGATTTAAGTTCCAAACACAATGTTTGTTCTCGTATAGTTTTACATGACGTATGTACTGTTTTTTTCTCTGCTGTGTTAGCCTAGCACTTTAACTCAGAAAGACAGTAGGAGAGGGATTTTGAACCATTTTAAGGAGCACTGTCAGTAATTATGTGTCTGTTTGGTGAACGAAAACATTAATATTTTGTGTTTTCACGCTTTTATCTGTTTGTGTGTGTATTCAGGTGGTGTACATCACAGCTACCATGCCCTACATTGTCCTTGTTGTCTTGCTGATCCGAGGCATAACTCTACCTGGAGCCAAGGATGGCATCAAGGCCTACCTCAGCATAGACTTGAAGCGGCTCAACAATCTGGAGGTCAGAGACTGCTTTTTTGGAGAGACTATGAATGGTTAAAATGATTATTGCTTTCAGTCTGTTGTTCCAGGTTTCAATAGTGAAGAGACCATCAGTTTTATGTTATTCTTATTGGATATTTCTTTCTGAATGGGACTTCAGATCTTTCCATTGATGTTCTTCTCTGGGAGTAATACTTACGTCAGAGTCGTTGTGGATTTATTACACTGTAGGAGTTTAAATGATTTGTTCTCTGTGCCATAGGTGTGGATTGATGCTGCCACCCAGATATTCTACTCACTGGGAGCAGGCTTTGGGGTGCTCATTGCTTTTGCCAGTTATAACAAATTTGACAACAACTGCTACAGGTAAGAGCCTGCATATGTTATTTATAACTTTTGATAGTCCACAACAAGCCCACAGTAACACAACATCCTGCTCGCTTCAAGCTGTTTCCTTGCATGTAACTGGATCACAGAGCAGCAGAGATGATGCTAATCTGTACATCTGACCCGAATGGCCAGGTGTTAACAGGACAGATAAAGTGCAGGCCAGGAAAGGTTTCTTGATAATAGCCAAAGGCTGAATGTTGACTGGGTTTGACATACTGCCGCTCTTCTTCAGAAAAAGCAGGCACGAGATAGTGAGCTTATCTTTTTCCACATGGGGGAGGTTGGAGGCAGACGCTGTTGGAAAAACAGAAGTTTAATCTTGAATGGTTGTAAATATACCTCACTAGAAGACACAAAATATCTCAGTGAAGCTTCACGTAAATCAAAGCATGCTCCTGCCGCTAAATTACAGCTATCTTAAAGTAAAACGGTTCTTATCAATTACATTTCACTATTTTCCCACAGGTGCAATGTAAATCACAGGGGCTCCTATAAGCTAAATAAGTGCTCTACTGTAAGTTATAAACATTATGGACCCCTTCCTCTTCTGTCCGCTCTCATTTCCTGCACCTTCTTCTTCCAATGAGGCCTTCTGCCTTCCTTCCCTTTCATGTCCTATTTCGAGATGTGGTGGACTGCTGGCAGGTGGGATTTGCATTATGCAGCAAACGAGCAAATCTGAACTATAGGTGAATGGGAGAAGCCCGGAAGAGCCGGTGCTTTTAGAAAGACTTCCACTAAACACAGACTTTTGTTTGAATGCCCAAACAGATGGAGGAACTCTGCATTAGGTACTGTATGGTGCAGTGAGTGTAGCAGTCTGTTCTCCATAACAATCACCTGTGTGAGAAATAAAACTCAGGGATTCAAAGAAAACCTCAAAAGCAATCAGAAAAGTACAAGACAACGACGCAGTCTTCTGACAAATCTTTGTTTCTTTTTTACATTAAATGCTCCCTTTCAAATGATCCCTTGTTGAAATGGCTAATCTGGTTTATCTCCATGATATATTCTGAATTCAGTTAGGCTATAATAACTAAAGATTTTCTAATAAACAATGATTTGAAAAAGTCCAACTTTCTGGAATGTAGGCCTACTTGACATCTAAATCTTGTAATAGTATGTTAAGCTAATTATGATATATGTATTCAAATAACAGTGCTAATGACTTGGAAAAGTTTTCGGTTGTTAAAAAAGACAGTTTCCTTTCTCTTTGACTAATTTACCTCATCACTTATTTGTCTCATCAGGGTTGTGTGCATATTTCACGTCTGAAATCATGTATTAGTGTCATATGCATGCTCTTAAGTGAGGCACAGTGATGTGAGGCTGCACCTGTGTTGAATACCAATTAATACACTTTAAATGGTTCCATCACAGCCTGCACAGGAAGAAAAAGGAAGGCATTCTTTAGATGGAAAGTCACCAGGGAGAATAAGCTTTATTGAAAGAATTCTGCTTTCTCAGCTTAGGAGATAGCCATGGTCAAGTTGACCGTGTTTGTCCGATAAGCTCAGGTTTGTAAACACAGAGCAGCTCACTCGAAGCAGCGGAGAACAAAAGCTTCTCATTAACCTGAATATCACCCCTGAGACTCAGTGTTTGGCAGATGATCAAGCCATGTACAACTTGAAAGATATCAAGTGACACATGGCCCCTTTAAGACTTTACATTGTGAGTCAGAGGAATAAAACTGGCTTTATGTCTCTTTATAAAACGACACTTAGTCCCTCTTTAAAAATATCTAAAGTTAACTCTAGCCAAAGTTAAAACACAGCATTGTGATAACGTGGATGTTGTAGGTTGGACAGTTTTCGGGTTAAGGGAAGGGAGATGAACATGTGAAGAAACTTTTGAACATATTTCTGATCTTGTGTTGTTTTCTTTCTCCAGGGACGCTCTCCTGACCAGCACTGTGAACTGCGTCACTAGTTTCTTATCAGGGTTTGCCATCTTCTCTGTGCTCGGATACATGGCTTATAAACATGGAGTGAACATAGAAGATGTGGCAACAGAGGGTAAGGGCTGGTGTCAGATATGGCAATAATATTTAACGTTTTTATTGTGAACCAATCAAAAGTGGTCAGCTTTTAGTATTTCAGGTTGTTTCTGGAATTAATTAAGCAATAGCTCACGACAGGCCGTGGTATATAGTCATATCGGCTGTGATATAATGACCATATATCACGGCCTGAAGTGAGCTATTGCTTTTATAAAACGGTTACTAAGTGTGGCAATATGAAAGAAAAATACACACTCAAATGTAAATAGTTTTTATTAGTAAATAATGATGTTCAAAATAAAATAGTCCCTCCGTTGCCTTCTGCACAAACCATAGTGCGAGATGGTTGCTATGCAACAACACTAACAGCTAGCGAACATATTAGACAGACAGCGTTGATCGATTATTTGGCTATTTATTTACATTAATTTGTATGTTGCCGTTTATTGTGCTCCCACTGAAAAACTGTCCAGCATCAGTAGAATGGCTTACGAGGTTACTTGTTCTAGGCTGTTGCTTGGCGTGGCGAGAATATTGCTCCACTTTCTCCGGTCCCCGAGATTCGGCTTCCAGTAGTAGTAGCAGTACTAGTGGTCATAATTTCTCTGCTTTCAAGACCCGCATCAGAAAGCTTTTGAATGGTGATACTGCGGAGGCAGTGGTTGGTGTATTTCTGCTGTGTTCCTGCTTGCTTGCGGTCGAAGTTAACCTTAAATGTTTATCTTAAGCTTTGTTAGTTCCTTAGTTAGTTAGTTAGTTAGTTAGTTAGTTAGTTATTTAGTTAGTTAGTTCGTTAGTTTTGTAACGGAAGTAATGTAACAGCTGTAACGGTTGTAGCTTTTTCTCAGACGCGGAGGGATACTGACTTGTGAAAAGTAACTACAATTCTAACCCTGATATACGCCGAATATATCACGGCTAAGAACCAATCAGATTGCTTGATTTGACTTATCCGTTTTATGAAATGCGTTATCACATGCCTCTTGAGTGACCACCTGTGATCACTTCAAAAATCTATACATCTTTATCTATATCTATATATATAAATAAACTGTTTGTATTGCACATACAAATACATGTGATTTTATGAAAAATAGATGTTGTTATTGGTGTTTGTACAATTTCCAGTTCCATCACTGCCTGGTTTAATACTGTATTATGATATAATTCTGCAAGTATATCTTGTATTTCTTTTTCGCACTTGCTATGATTAAATGATTAAATAATTTGGTCATGGAACTTAAGTTTCACTTTTCATCAGAAATCATAACGGTTGTGTGTACATGTTTCTCTGTGTGTGTACAGGGGCAGGACTGGTGTTTATCATCTACCCCGAGGCGATCTCTACTCTGCCTGGCTCGACGTTTTGGGCTATTGTGTTCTTCATAATGCTGCTGACTCTGGGCATTGACAGCTCGGTGAGTCCACACTGCTACCTTTCTGTCTTTATAGATTCAAGATTCAAGGCTTTTATTGTCCTTTGAACATCACTACAGTGTAGATATGTCAATGAAAATCTTAGGTCACAGGCTCCTCCAACAGTGCAACACAATAAACAGATAATAGTGAATAGTAAATACAAATCAAATAGAATAGAAATAGTGCGAGAGAGTTTATATACAAGTAATTGGAATATGATATATTAGATCAATAATTTGTAAGTTGCAAACAGATGAATGCTATGGATGTTCTTTCAAACTCAATCATATTCTTAGGTTCAGAAGTAGAAATTATTATGCATGTTCAAAACTTAGGAGGTAGCTTCAGGTCTAAAAGCGCAAATACAATAACATGGACACTGGTTAATGGTGAACATAACTAAGTAAATATATGATGTGGTTTTAAAGTGCTGTGTATATAAACCGTATATGTGTCAGTTTGAATTCGATGTCAGAAAGCTTACATGCTGCTCTTGTGCCTCGCTGAAATCACATTTGGCCTCAAATTGGGATTCCCAATAAACGGTCTGAGAAAGATGTACTTCTTTGACATTTCAAAAGCTGAAAGTCATTTAACAAAACATCTGTCCTATGACTCAGGCGCTGAATCAAAGGGAGGCTTTAATCTCCTGTTATCTCTCGGTGAATGTCTCTAAGCAATTAACTTATCGTCTCGATCATTAATCACTAGATCAGATAAGGAGCAGGTCAGTATTACAAACTGAAATGCACTGTGAACGGATTTTTTATTGTAACAGGTCTTTGCCTTTGCCTTTACGTCATCATTTTGCTAAAGTATAGGAATAAAGACACATTTCCAGCCCTGGTTGGTTATGACGTTTTATTGAATTCAATTTTGTCCAAAGTATAGGATATTGTAATTACAGAATTAAATGTAAGTTTGTTTGGATATTGCAACATACCACTGTAAAGAATAAACATTTCCCATGGATATATAAAATAAAACATTAGAGTAGTATAACAGCATACTAAAGCAGACTTGTGCAGTTCTTACAAAATGATCAGTAATGTTTTTGTTATGTTTAATATCAAGAAGGCACAATTGACTGAAATCCTCAAGTCAAAGTCGAGGAAAGGTTTCCATTTTACAACACTTTCAATGGTGCAATATTTGTATTCAGTTTTTTATGTCCCTCTCTTTTTGTGTCCACCAGATGGGCGGCATGGAGGCGGTGATCACAGGCCTGTCGGACGATTTTAAATTCCTCAAGAGGAACAGAAAGGTCTTCACCTTCGCCACGGCCTTTGGAACGTTCCTGGTTGCTCTCCTCTGCATCACCAATGTACGTATCAGATTTCAAAGAGACATTCACACTCAATACTTAGGAAGTACTTGTCATAACCCCGCATTAAACCAAATCCCTGCAGCTTACTTTTTCTTTCAAATGCAGGATTGGCAATCCTTCCAACCATGCACAAATACGTTTTTATGTTCCATATTTTTATTTTCAACAGTCATAAGATGATACAGTACTAAGACCTACACTGAACACAAAACACAGCAAAAACCACACAAAAACAAACAACAACAACAAATATTTTTGTCTGTGTTCACAATCTAAGGCTAATCCCAACGGAAAGGGATTTAAAAAAAAATTACTTCGGATGCTGCACTATGACTTGCATACACTGTAAAAATATTTGTTTTAAACAACTTCAGTTGGGAGGTATACCTAAGTAATATTGGACCGTGGAGTCTGAAGGGTTGTAATTGAGAGCTTTAATCGTCAAGTCTCTGTTTCCCGTGAGAACGTTTTCATGCCCGATGATTTGATGTCGTCACAGGAAAGTTTCAGTGAAATATCACAGAACTCTTTCAATGGAAAGATCCTAAATGCTATTGCATGAGACAAGATGACTAATTACAATTCAATTGAAGCTGTATCCTGGAGGACATTTTAATTTCGTCTGTCGTCCCTATTCATTCAAATGGTATCAGACCAAAGAAGAAACGCTTATCAATACCAGAAAAAACAGACATCGAGACAGAAAGCTTTTATGTTCCTGATTCACATGGTTTCTTGTCTTTACAAGTGAAGACAATTATTTGTAGTGAATGATGCCTTTCCAATAGTTCCACGGCACAAGATATCCATTGTTCCACCCTGGATACACATCAAGGATTTATTGTACATAAGCTCTGATGCACATGAAATCCATCAAGGTGAGGCTTTTCTTCGCTCACATGTCGACTCTTCAAAGTGCACGTTAAGTCGCCTCCAACGGAAAAAAAAGCTTATACAGTTTTAAGTCTGAGAGGCCATTGATTATTATGAGTGCACACAAGGGTGTACTTCTCTTCAAAGAGGAAGATGCACACACACACACACACACACACACACACACACACACACACACACACACACACACACACACACACACACACACACACACACACACACACACACACACACACACACACACACACACACACACACACACACACTTAAGTTCCTCTTTCTTCCTCTGTAGGGTGGGATCTACGTGCTGACCCTGTTAGATAAGTATGCAGCGGGGACCTCTATACTGTTTGCTGTTCTGATCGAGGCCATTGGAGTGTCATGGTTTTACGGTATGAAACTCTACGGTACTTTTTTACCCCACGATTTCTCCATTTAAATTATATATTTTTATTCCATGACAAAATGACATTAGCAGCACAGCTCACTTTCTGGTGACATTACAAAATGACAATAGAATAAGCAAGAAAAAACTGAAACGTCGTATCCACTAACCCATTGGCTCAGTGTCTTGCCATAATCTAAAAGACAAGGTGAAACTTGTAAGTTGAAAGGAAAATGTACTGTAATGTAATGTATGTTTTTAGGTTCTGCAAAGCAACAATTGTGAACCCTAAAAAAGCTGAAATGTTATCAGAAAATTATGTCTCAGAGTTTTAAATTCCACAATTTACTTAGTGTACCTTTTCCAGAAGATTAAACAAGTCCTCGATCAATCTTAGAGATATATATTTATTTATAATTACATTTGTACATATATAACTAATTAACATAAGACACAATAATGAAAAAAATCCCCTATGGCATAAAACAAAGCACAAGTCATGACATTGTATCTGTATCAGCCGGCAAACAGTATCTAACCTATCAGGCGTAGTCCATCTCGTTGCCTACAGATACAATGTCATGACTTGTGCTTTGTTTTATGCCATAGGGGATTTNCTTGCCTTGCCTTGCCTTGCCTTGCCTTGCCTTGCCTTGCCTTGCCTTGCCTTGCCTTGCCTTGCCTTGCCTTGCCTTACTCAGAACCATTGTTTAAAACACAGTATTACGTTAAAACAGAACGTGTTTCAGATTATTTATTTGAATGCTCTCCCCGACCAAATGAGAGCACCACAGACCGTGGAGGCTTTTAAAAAAGGCCTCAAAACCCATCTCTTCAAAAGAGCCTTTGCCTAGACCTTTTTTATCACCTTTTTATTTTATTTTTTTATTTTTGTATTGCTTTTTTATTAATTCTACCATGTTGTGTAATGTTTATTTATACTGTTCATGCTCACTGCTTGTACTTCGGGATTTGAAATCAAATATGAAGTGCTTTATAAATGGAACCCATTATTATTATTATTATTATTTCCATAGACTAAATAGTTTTTCCGGGATATTGTTTCTTCAATAGTAGCTTATGTGTGCGGCAACCAAGCATGCGTGCAGCAAAGGGTCATGAACAATAGTAGCTTAGCTAACAAAGGCACAAAGAATGGACATTGAAGGTCTGTGTGCCAGTCCTACAGCTGAATAACAAAGGAAGAGAGAGTGGAAAGCTCTTAGTCAGCAGCAAAACTAAAACTAAACAGACAAGAGGGAACACATGGTGTGTGTACAAGGAATTCTTTATTATCATAGTGTGAATACTTCAGACTTCTTTATAGATAGCTGTCACTCAGGTTCAACAGGACATTGGTATTGTACACAGTATTTCTGTAAACATAGTCCAGGAAAGCCAGGGTGTATTTAACCACATTCAGTGACAAAGTAGCCCGGGGTTACGCTGAAGAATATTTATTCTAAATAGTTCATCTTTAGCTATACATCAAACACCATGTTATGACTGTGGACAGATACGCTTAAAATACTTTACATTCACGTTTTGTTATAAACAATTTGATAAATATAAGATTATACATAACAAAAGAATATATTTTTTATATCTTCTTATATATTCCACATATATTTGATTTTTTTTCTTTGTGGCTTTATTCCTTTCAGTAAGGGTCTCTTATGATTCATGGCTCAAATTCAACTTCATTCCAATAAATAAAAAAACATTCTGAAAGGAACATAATGGCACTTTTTTGGTGGTGAAAAAGTGTAATATCAGAAAATACTTTTCAAATGAATATATAAGAGATGTTATCATGCACTTGATCTAATATACAGTGCATTCAAAGAGGAATTGTTATTCCTTCGTGTACTGTTCACTAAAAGCATACTGTATGGTCGGCAACAAACACACACACACACACACACACACACACACACACACACACACACACACACACACACACACACACACACACAGTATCTTATCTTTCTCTCACTCTTTCTCGCTGTGTTTCTTCGGAGCAAAAGCCACAAATACTCTTCAGAAGTGCGGAACATTTGAAACATTTAAAAAAGTAAAAGTCACACAACAATAAAAAAAAAGACAATTTGTAACAGTTACGCCATTTGTTTTGCTGATTTTCTTCCCCTTCAGTTAGCAGCCAAGCAACCCAGTTCAGCCTTAGTCACTTCTTTGAGATTAAGGCCTGGTTATGTGTGTTTAGCCTTTCAAAGCATACGAGGTGTGTTAAGCCTGCCTCATGGTTGTTTAAAGCTAAGGAGTGATGCATGCGTTGTTCCCTTTTCTGTAACAGAATGTGACTCAAAAGCATTACATCAGGCCTGACTGACATTAAAAAATCTACACTAAGGAGCTTCAACTTCATGCACTGTTGACCTCCAGCTCTTCAGTAGATATCAAAGGACTGAGTCAAATCAATAGAGCCATTCAAAAGCTACACAACTTGACTTTTTTCCTGTATGGACTGAAAGAAACATGGAGTGTCTCGCTTGATAAGATACTGACACAGATAAGCCACTCTGCCAGGATAACGGCAAGAACAGAGACTCTCTTCAAACTAAAAGTAATCACAAATAATGAAAAAAACAACATTTGGGTTACCTGTAATATAATTCGCAGGATATTGTGATGGTTTTGGTTTTAATTGTACTTTCTCTTCCTTCCAGGAGATGATACTCACATCACATATATGTCCAGTTATGATTATGTTATGAAGTTATGATGATGAAGAATATTAAAACCATGGGCCTATAACAGTACATTGTCCCCCTGGGGTGCCCTTACCTTATACTCTGAGGGGGTTGAATGATAAAAAGCCTAACTCTGAAAACAAAGGGCGTGAAGCTACTGTTTACAACAATTTCCTTGGGTGGTGTAGGGAGAAGAGGCAGGCTGCTGAGAGAGGATGGAGCCTGGTGCTTTTCTTGTCTGTCCGACCACTGGTGGCACACAGGAACTCCAAACACCAAATGTGAGGATGGATGAGGGAATTCTGGGTATTTGTCATCAGATGGCCAACCAATGCTTGAGCTGCGAAACAGAAGACAGTTTGGGGTCAGTTTTGCAACTCGTGTAAAATATATTCTATTTATTATATTCAAATTATTCTATCGTTTACTTCTTTTTTTCCCCTACTTACTGAGGCCTCTTGTGTTTTCAAGTTTTCAAGTTTTCAAGGCTTTTATTGTCATGTGTGCATAGCTACGGTGTAGATATGACAATGCAAATCTTAGGTGACAGGCCCCTCCAACAGTGCAACACAATAACAGATAAATAGTACAAGTATAATGCTTATAATGTCAATTAGTATAATATATATCCCCATTAGTTTTTTTAAAGGCACTTTTTAAAAGGCCTACACCCTACGTGTCATCTCTGTTAATTGTGATGCATTCTAAGTCAACACATAAAGCACTTCACAAACAACTCCATGTGTCCATATCCAGATTAATTGCAGCCATTTAGCCAGTTCAAATTAACACCCTTAATGAAAAGCACAAACATTTGCCCTTACTGTGAACTGCCGTATATTTCCCTCAGCGACCAAATGGTGTTCATGCTCTGGAGTGATGCAATAAGCTATTCTCTGCAACAAGAAAAGAAAATACGACACATTATTTCCCAACATTTTCATAAATACATACATACAAGACACTCTTCAATTATTATACATTCTTGTGTCTTGTATTTATTTCTTATTTGATCCTTAAATCTTGCTTTCTAAGTGACTTTACACTTTGGCATGTTGTTAAAGGAGATACGTACTAGATGAGATACAAGAGGTAATGAAATTGAATGTAACATCTGGCTATAATAACAGTCATTATGGGCTTTAGCTCTGAAAAACATTTGAAAGCTGTGAGGGATTATGGGATCCGTGTTAAGAACTTCAGAGATGTTTATTCTGGTTAATATGAGAAGCAGACAGACACCACTTGATAGGTGTCGACAGGTGTTTTCGGCAAGAATGTGTATCCTGAGAACCTGAGACGAATCTTAAATCCTGAGTTCCAACGGGAAATGCCAACGGGATGTGAGGATTGTAAAAGTAGAGTGAAGCAGACACTGTTTGTCTCCTGAAGGATGAAAATATCTCTTGGGTGCTTTGATGATTGCGATCATTAACTCTCAATGCTTTGAAGCGATCACTTCATCTGAAACTGTTCTCACGGTGTCATCGAGTAGAGAGAGGAAAGTTATTTCCTTAATCAGAAGGTTTTGTCCAGGTTTTATTGGACAGAAGAACATACAGTGCGTCCTTTAGATGCAAGCCTATTTATTGCCAGTACACTGTGTTTTATTCTACTTTATTTATACCTTACACAATGTTCCGATAAGGGTCATTGTGTGCCTCCAGGGGCGCCGTAAGGGGCTGAAAAGTTAGGACGATTCTAAGGGCCCGTGACTGACAGGGACCCGAACTATTTTAGGACGTTAAGAAAAAAATGTTTAACCCTCCTATTATCTTCGTTTCCCCCCCTTACTTTGGTGTTCACGGTCAAATTTGACCGGTCCTGTTTTAACTGCTATTACATCATCACCAAATTTCATTGAACACCCTTTCAAACTGTAAATATTGTATCAGACTACTGGTATACATGAAAAACTGCAGTAAATATACAAAGAATAGACACTGAACATGTATTAATTTGCTTGTGCCAGGTTTGATCCATGTGGGGGGATGGGCACATAAGAGCGGGAAATGTTTCAAATTGTTTGGTGTGTGTGTGTGTGTGTGTGTGTGTGTGTGTTTTATCTGATCCGGAT